TTTTATTGAAAATTACTGATATTGGTGTTAAGATTTTGGTTAAAAATGACTTGTATTATGGTAAAGATGTTGGTTAAAAATGATTTATATTGGGGTAAATATTATGGTTAAAAATTACTTTCATCAGGGTAAAGATTTTGGTTAAAAATTACTTGTATTGTGGTAAAGATGTTGGTTAAAAATTACTTGTATCGTGGTAAAGATTTTGGTTAAATATTACTGATATTTTGGGGGTAGAGATTTTGGTTAAAAATTACTTATAAATAATTTTTAACCGAAATCTTTCCATGATATAAGTAATTTTTAACCAAAATCTCTACCCCCAAAATATCAGTAATTTTTTACCAAAATCTTTCCATGATACAAGTAATTTTTAACCAAAATCTTTCTCTTGGTATCAGTAATATTTAACCAATATCTTTACCACGATACAAGTTATTTTTAACCAAAATCTTTATCATGATACACGTAATTTTTAACCAACATCTTTACCCCAATACATGTGATTTTAAACCATAATTTTTCCATAATATAAATAATTTTTAACCAAAATCTTTCCATAATATATCATGGAAAAATTATGGTTTAAAATCACATGTATTGGGGTAAAGATGCTGGTTAAAAATTACGTGTATCATGATAAAGATTTTGGTTAAAAATTACTTGTATCGTGGTAAAGATATTGGTTAAATATTACTGATATCGAGAGAAATATTTTGGTTCAAAATTACTTGTATCGTGGTAAAGATATTGGTTAAATATTACGGATATTGAGAGAAAGATTTTGGTTAAAAATGACTTATATCATGGAAAGATTTTGGTTAAAAATTATTTATATCATGGAAAGATTTTGGTTAAAAATTACGTGTATCATGATAAAATTATGGTTTAAAATCACATGTATTGGGGTAAAGATGTTGGTTAAAAATTACTTGTATCGTGGTAAAGATATTGGTTAAATATTACAGATATTGAGAGAAAGATTTTGGTTAAAAATTACTTGTATCGTGGTAAAGATATTGGTTAAATATTACAGATATTGAGAGAAAGATTTTGGTTAAAAATTACTTGTATCGTGGTAAAGATATTGGTTAAATATTACTGATATCAAGAGAAAAATTTTGGTTAAAAATTACTTGTATCATGGAAAGATTTTGGTTAAAAATTATTTATATCATGGAAAGATGTTGGTTAAAATTATTTATATCGGGGTAAAGATTATGGTTTAAAATCACATGTGTTGGGGTAAAGATTTTGGTTTAAAATAACTTGTATCATGGTAAAGATGTTGGTTAAAAATTACTTGTCTCAAGGTAAAGATGGTTAAAATTGCTTGCATCTAGGTAAATATATTAGTTAAAAATCACTTATATCACAGTAAAGATTTTGGTCATATTGCCCACTTCAAAGTAATTTAAACAGGAAGCTGCTAGAAAGTCAATAAGTACCAGTATGGTAGAGGTAGAAGCTACAGAGGAAACGGGATGGCGTTCAGGCATCAGTCAATTACATGTAGCAGTGTTTAATATTCACCCTGGATTCACTCTGGACCCAGGCCCAGCTCTCCCACATCAGGATTAGCCGCTGTGTGTGGAGCTCATATGGGTGACATTGCTACTGTTTCCCCTCCAAAACTCACCCGAACCAGATGTGGCCCACCACTACTGCAGGAGCTCCTCCTGACTTCTGGCCCGTGTAAACGCAAACATCACAACTGTGAAGCAGGATCTCGGGATTAGCGTCGGCAGGCCAATTTTAAAGCGATTTGCCGGGCATTACTTATAACCTAGCGGTGAATGTGTGCGGTAGCTGACTGTGTTTATAATTCCAAATGTCAACTGTCAAGCCCCCCATGTTCAATTTTAGTTACAGTTCCACTTCAGCGATGAGGGTGGGTGATTTATGCATCATTTTTTGATAATTGCTGTGCACCTCGCAGGGGTACCGGTACGGACCAGAAACCATTAAGGCCGATATGCTTGAATAACATTATTCATGGCTCTGTAAATAAGCTGACATCAAGAAAGAAGTGATACATTATTAATGCAGTGATTAAAGATGGGGATACCTAGGTTTGATGGACCCCATCGAAGGTTGTTGTCATGGCAATGCCACCGAATTGCACACGCACACAGCTGGATGTTGCCTCCAGACCCGGAAACACTGAATCTGACAGCACCAGTGATATTCCTGTATACTATACACACCAGCATTCCTGTGGGCAAAGAGAGAGAGAGAGATGAAAACACACTCGGCACACACAAACTAAGATGATCCACAGGCAAACAGGCATTTGCCAACAGTGCAACCCAGCTGTGTCTAAGATCCGTGTCTGAGAGAAACCTTTGAGCGAACCGTTTCTGAAGGAAGTCTAGATCAGTGTTGCTTAAAGCTTTTTATTCCCAGAAGCGGCACTCCTGCGAGCAAGCGGCTGGATCTTTTCTGTCAAAGTTACTGCTGTTTAACCCGCTAAAGCATTTCCACAAACAGCCTCGGCGCTGCCAAATACTGTGGATTGCTCTTCTGTAGGTGCATTAAGCCTGTAGGAAAGAAATATCACAAAAGTAATCTCTTTACAGGAATAGTTCATGCAGAAGTGAGAAATCTTTATTTACTCACCCTAATGCTGGTATATTTTTCAGTGGAACACAAAAGAAGAATCGGTATGTGGTTCTTTTGGATGAAACAGTTTATAGTGGCCACAGGATGCATAGGGTGACTGAACAGAAATGTCATTTCTTAAAATAAATCAATTGAGATCAAATGGAGAGCAAATGGAGAAGCTGAGGTCTCCTGCTCCTCACATTTTCATTCTCGTGTTTTAGTAGCCTAGAGATCTCGGTATCGATGCAAAATAGAAGACAGAGGTATAAAAAGGTTCCAAAACATTCCAAAGTTCGAATTTGTCGAACAGCAAAGGTCTTGGCAAACCTGTCAATCATGTACTGCGCTATAAAAGGGTTTTAAAATGTTCCATTTTTATTTGGAAAGAAATGTTCACCAAGGCTCCATTTACTTAATCATAAATACAGTAAAAACAGTAATATTATAAAATATTATTACATTTTAAAATAACCATTTTTTTTTTCTTTTAATATATTGTAAAAATGTAATTGATTCCTGTGATGCATTTTCAGCATCATTACTCCAGTCTTCAGTGTCACATGATTCTTCAGAAATCATTCTAATATGCTGATTTGCTGCTCAAGATTAATTTCTTATTATTGTTTTATTTATTTATTTATTTTTATGGAAAATGTGAATTTTTCTTCAGGATTCTTTCATGAATAGAAAGTTCAAAAGCATTTATTTGAAATAGAAATCTTTTGTAATAATATAAATGCATTTGCTGTTTCAATTTTGATCAATTTAATGCATCCTTGCTGAATAAAAGTATTAATTTCTTAAAAAATAAATAAATAATCGTATTGAACCCAAACTCGTGTTTGTAGTGAGATTTTTTTTGTTTATTATCACACACGTTTGGACTGTAGACTCGCAATTGCTCAGATGGTAGAAAATTGTATTATTTACATTACAAAATTCACCAACATGTCAGGGGCCATGATTAATTGCAAAAAAGCATGTTTTTCATTTTTTATTGTTAATTACACTAAATTAACTTGTTAAATAGACAGGCCTTTCATTCTGCCGCTCATACGCTGCTCAGATTTGTTTATCTTCATGTTAAAGCCAGACTGCAGGATCCAGTCGTACGAGCAGCAGGAACACCATGAGGGGAATGTGTTCAGGCAGCAGATGGCCGTGTGTTGGCGGGAAGTGTGAATTCATGTGTGTGTGTGTATGACAGAGGTGAGTCAGGGCCCTGCTGCACTGCGACTTTGTGGTTGGATAGAGCTCTGGGTTAGTGGGTTTAATCTCTGTCCCAAATGTCACACGCACACAGAAGATGGGAGGAGAAGACGCTGGAATGGGCGTCCCTGAGATCAGCACCTCACGGGGATCTCTGCGGGGTTCCTCTGGAGAGAGAAAAAAGAGCTTTTGAGTCCAGATCATTCATAATTATAAAGAACTCACACCATTGTTCGAGTCAAAACACCACACTCTCAGAAAAAAGAAGTATAAAAGCTGTCACTGTGGTGGCAACCTTTTCAAAAGGTACACCTTTTTACCTTATTTACACCTAAAAGTTACATAATGGTACCTTAAAGGAATCATTCACCCAAAAATGAAAATTTACTCACCCTCAGGCCATCCAATATGTAGATGAAGTATGTTTCTTCATCAGAACCGATTTGTAGAAATTCAGCATTACTTCACTTGCTCACCAATGGATCCTCTGCAGTGAATGGGTGCCGTCAGTGTTTCTTACAAACACGCTGCTTTTCTCTTTACAAGACATTAATTGATGGACTGGAGTGGTGTGGATTACTTGTGGATTATTGTGAGGATTTTCTCAGCTGTTTGGACTCTCATTCTGACGGCACCCATTCACTGCAGAGGATCCACTGGTGAGCAAGTGGAATGCTACATTTTTTTCAAAATCTGTTCCTGTGAAGAAACAGACTCCTCGACATCTTCGATGGCCTGAGGGTTTTCAGCAAGTTGTAATTTTTTGGTAAACTATTCCTTTAAAGATACATATTAGTTCCTAAATGATTCATTTTAGTACCTTTTGAAAGGGTAATGCCCCATTGAAAGATTTTGTACCTTTTTTTTCTTAGAGTGCGTAGGGAGACTTTACTAAACCTACAAGTATCTTACTTACAGTTGTCTCAGCATATTAAACTGGGACTGAAAGTATTTGAACATTGAATAAATGACACATTTCATCTTTAACAATGCCCAAGGAAATCACCTCAGAGACAGAAAGCAGAACTCAAGTATTACACCAGCTCATTTAGTGCAAATGTGTCTATCGAGAGCTCATTTCTTGCCAATGCTGTGTAAAAATGTTTCCAATAATAAACCTCGTGAACAGATGTTCTCCATCTTATCACTAACGTTTTCCTTCTTTGCTGCATAATCAGGTCGCTAAAATGCACTTTTTCAAGTTTGTTGGTGATATATCGCACCTGTTTAAGAGTGGTATGTTTGACATTAAACCGGTGTTCCCCTCTCTCTTTAGCTGGGAGAAGAATCCGGCCGACTTTGAGCCGTACCATCTCAAACTGGAGGAATGCATGTCTGCAGACCAGATTCCCACCACGGAGCACATCCAAGGATACGTGAAGAAAGTAAGAACCTCCTGTTTAGCTTCTTGAACACAGTAGGAGCACATAACGGAATCATTAAAGGGGTCATATGATGCGATTTCAATTTTTCCTTTCTCTTTGGAGTGTTACAAGCTCTTGGTGCATAAAGAAGATCTGTAAAGTTGCAAAGACTAAAGTCTCAAATCCAAAGAGATATTCTTTATAAAAGTTAAGAGTTAACCACGCCTACCTAAAACGGCTCGTTCTAACACGCACCCACATGTCTACATCACGATGTGGGAAGACGTGCATAACGCCGCCCAAATGTTTACACAAAGAAAGAAGGCGTAACTTTGACTCTCGGCCTTCTGAAAGAGGACGATATCTGCTTTGTCATGCCTAGAGCTGATCCGTGCAGGTCGCTGAGGAAATACATCAACTTCGCGCTGTGGATCGGCTTTCACCGTGGATGAAGCGGAGTCCAGCCCGTGGTCATCACATGTGGTTGCCGCAAGCCCGCAGGACGCTCCTTCATCGAATCCGCCGGCAGCGCCGTTCTCAAGCCCGCCGCCTCCGTTCACTTAAGCCCGCCCACCGCCGCTCACTAGGCCGCCGGCATCCACTCACTCTAGCCCGCAGTGTGTGACGCTGTGTTTCGTTGTGAAAGCGAAACTACTTTGTTTGGCCATCCAAAAATGGACACGACTAGAAATCAGTGGTTAAGTTGTATTTACAACACTGTTCCAGAACACTTCAACCCAAATAATCAGATGTGTGCAGCACATTTTATGGAGGACTGTATCCTGATCCTGGTAGAGTAGACTACAATGCCGGCTGTTCTGACTCACAGACTGTAAGTACGTTTTTTATATTTAAACTATTTGCCACTGACGATTCAAACGCGAGTTTTGAGCAGTGTAGAGTAGCACTTGTTGTTCGTCATTTCTCCGATCACAAATGCAGACATGGTTTTAAGTTTACGCAGCACGATACGCAACGCAACACGTAAAAAGACAGTATAAGTCATTATAATCAGTAATTATGTCCACACTGGATGCAACGAATGCCTCATTTATAATGGGTTTTCATGTTTTTGAACATCATCACAATATGGTAGGGGCATAACATTTCCGTCACACGCTTGAGGTATTCGGCCAATCACAACGCACTGGATAGCTGGCCAATCACAGCACACCTCGCTTTTTCAGACCGATGAGCTTTGTAAAAATCGAAGCGTTTCAGAAAGGCGGGGCATAGAGGAGAAACAATAATGTACAATATGTGGAAAATAATGTGTTTTTTTAACCTTAAACCGCATAAACACATTTCATTACACCAAATACACAAAATAATGTTCTTTTTAGCAGCATAATATGACCCCTTTAATAATTTGCATTCAAACTACCCTGACTCTCTCAAATAAGTAAAAATTAAATATTTGTCCAAAGCACCATCTGTACATGGTGGCTTCTCTGTCTGCAGCACTCTCCTGTGTCTTCAAACTTAAACCTACCTATCTCATAGCACTTTTCAGGCCTAATTTCTTTGATATCAGTCACTTGCAATCACTTCTCTTCCTTGATGTTATGTTCTTTGCTACCTTGTCTGTTAAAAATAGCATGTGCATCAATTATACATTGTGTAGGCTAGCATCTCTCCATTACATCCATCAGTTTGTTGCTTTCCGGCTTTTATCTGTGGCATCTTCTGATAAACACACTTTTCGTTTTATCTTCTGGTGCACCCCTTTGAAAGCCCCATGTGGTGTTATTTTTGAGGGATTTGGGAAAAGTAGAGTGTGGGTTTAAGTGCTTCCTGCTTTGCAAATGCAAAATCTGTTGTTCTACAACATGTTCTCAAACAGCTAGTGCAAAGTAATATCCAGAGACATACTGACTCTATTTATAACCACTTTCGCTGTGTCATCATGGACAGAATGTGTGTATCATGGCATTTTGCAGCACTGATTGAATTCACATAGACTCCATTACAAAATCAAGCAAAGCTTTTGATGAATTCTTCCTCTAAAAGAGCTCATTGTAGCAGTTTGGTATATTGTAAAAGCAACTTTGTTTCCAGGTGGACAAGTAACCCTTTGGCCCGTGATGAAGTGTCTGACACTGAATATTTCCTTGTTTGTTTGTTTGTAACAGCTGTTGTTGTTGTTATTTAATCACTCACCC